TCGTATTATCCCTTCTGTATAGCAATTTTTTTTAATTATATACCGATTACATTGTTTTCTTTTCATGATGTGGACATCTCTGTCCACGCAAATCGGAACGTAATTATAGTAATCTTTCTCATCAACGTGTCTATTCATTTTATGGATAAAAGATTCTAGTTTATATCATTGGTGATACCTAATAACTTCTTCCACACATTTTCATAGTTCCCTTTTTCATTCTTTATATCTAGTTTTCCTCCGTTTCTGTCCAATATTTAGAATTTTTTATTAATCTTTTACATTGATCAATCTATCCGTCTGTGTTGTCTACCGAGATTTTGCTAATTTACCTTTCTTATTCTCACTTCGTTTTAAAGCATCTACTATTTTTTTCTTGAAAACACTCAAAGGTACATATGTCCGTTATACATTGCAATGTCATAAACTTTACTCTATCTAAAAAAGGTCTTACAAGAGTGGGATGATGTTTATCGGTGAACTTTGTACGTGTGTGTGAGTGTTACTGAGTTGCTATTTGACCTGCGGCATGTGAGCATAGTTTGCATGAGTATTTGGATAATTAGCAACAGTTCATTATGTGATCAAAGAACAACTGTCTGCCATTAAAAGCTCAAGTGGAAATACTGTCTGCTGTACAAGATTTTAAGAAAATTTTAAGCCGCATTCTGGGCATGGGAATACAAAATAGGCGAAAGGGAATTTTTGATCAGTGGTAAATAGTAAATAAAGAAAAATCAAGAGAGGGAGTGAAGGTGTTATCTTAGATAACAGGATCTTATTTAGCAACTCACCAGCTGTACTTCAAGGTGAATACAGAGATAAACTGCGAAGGCATCGTAAGTTTGAATCATTATATCATAAGACTTAATCATTGCCAGTGAAAACAAAATATAGGTCTGTGTATTCTTAGTTGCTACGGATTCGGAAGTGCTTTCTATGATAAGGACAATATATATAGCATGACAAACTGTCTGACAAAAAAATATGCAACTTTCACAACAGACTTTTAGTCTTCCTGGCTGACCACTTACACAACAGTTCGAAGACTTTTTGCACACTGATAAATTATAAGCGAATGGATGACAATATTATCAGAATGGATCTTACTGATTACGAGTTAGGTGATCGTAGGTTACATGAAGGGTTTTCCTCCTTATTCGAAGTTCCTATATAAGATATTTTTAAGCGTTATACAAAATAAATTTCATCACCGGCTTCGGTTCGATATTAATAAAGTTTGTCAAAAAGTTTCTTTTCTTGAATCGACTGAAAAGTAAATGTCGGGATTAATTAGAGGTCGAACCTCGCAACAAAGAACAAGGTATCGATATGAAAACGCCCACAACCAGAAAACAGACAAATTGTTCCACAAACAGAAACCAGACGATTAATTTACAAATGCAAACCAGAAGAACAGCCAAATAATCATATACCAAGTGAGCAATCCCATTTCCAGAAACTAGATGAACGATTCCACAACCCAAAACCAAACGTCCAACCCCACAATCAGAAGCCAATCTTCCATTTCACAACCAAGAACCACCTTTCAAGAGAAGGCTGGAGAAGAGCTCTTGTTCCATGGGACTGTAACGATCTTCTCTTAAGAATCAAGGAGACCGAGGAATTCACAATGTAAAAACGCTTGTCTATTGGAGATATAAGTGACTAAACATATTTCCCAGAGTAGCTCTTAAGAAGCCTTCGAGCGAGTTATCATTTCAAGATGCGCGGCTGATGATTTTCCCAGAGAAATACACTAACAGAGAACGAGATGTTATAGAAGTGAGAAAAATATTATTTACCTGAGTTGCGAACAGAAACAATATCATAAAGGCTAGAAGTGAAACGTTAAGAAAAACTGAAAAAAAAAATGCTGCCATAAATATCATTAGAGATGCAATATCTGTCATTTGTGGCGTTCTCTCTAAGAAGAGTGTTAAAAACAAATGACTTTTCAGGGTTATGGGAGAAATTTTCCGACAGAATGAATATTGTAATGAAAACAAGATAAATGCAATTGACAAGTGGGACACCTTGGTAGCGGGAGTCAGTTTTAGTTGCATCACTAGACTGGGTTGTTAGTGGTCTTTCTGTCTGCTTAATTTATAAAAGTGATCTGAAAAAAATCATCAGAGGACGAAACGGGAACACAAAAAATTCGATGTGATGATTTTGTAATATTATCATTATTGTCATGACTATTATTATTATTTAGTTCACAAGAACGACGTGCTAAATAACAAACACTAACGTTTGCTCAGTCCAATAGAAACTGGTTGTGTGTTTGGGGAAGGAAAGAGTTAGGATGCAGTAACCACAAGTATAATTTCCACTACAGAAATACACATTAAAAAACTTTCAAAAGAACTTTCTTAAACATGTGGGTTACTTATGAAATATTCCAGCTGCAATACGCTCATTTATTTTTTCTTGGCGAGAAATGGAGTTAAAGGTAAGAGGGATGAAGGAGATTTTAAACAAAAGATTTTTCACTCTCTTCTCATAATAAGAGGAGTGCAAGAAACAAAATAAAAGATAACAAAGATTTACGTGCAGAGAGAAAATAGGCATTGAATATTAAGTTCAAAGATAGCAAGCAATATACAAGGGATGAAGTGGTGTCCTGGCAGAGAAATTATCTACTGCAGCAAAAAAAGGAAAAAGAAAGGAAATAGACTCTTTATATTTGGGAACTTTTAAGGGGAATGAAAGGTTGAACTTGAGTTTGTTACAGCGACCCCGGAGATAACGAAGCATCAACAGCCGACCTCCTGGGTACGAAATGGAAAAACTTTAAAAAGCAAAGATTCTCGGCATAATGGGGAATTTTAGTTTAGTTAAAAAAATTTAGTGGAGTGTATGATCAATAATCTTCAAAATATTGAAGATATCAACCAAAAACAAAACAGAAGTACTACATTTTATATTTTCTGAAAATACGTAAATAACAGCATTGCAGAGAAATTTCAGTCTATAATGATAAAAAAAAAATATACTCACCTGAGTTTACAGAATATTATCAATGTGACACGGTCGCTCGCTGTAGTGGTTGTAGCTAGGCGACGGAGGGTGAATGAGGCATTGCCAAATATTTCGGGGTGTTTTATACCCCTACTCGATGAGGTTATTGACCAGTGTGGTGGACGAGGGAGATGAGGAAGTGTCACTTGATGTTGTGTTTAATCACCTAATTATACCAGCTTTAGCTGTTTCACGCTAAAAAAAAAAAAGTGTTTATATGTTATGGATCGTATATGCTTTACATTGTGTTAATTTTTTTCACGAAAGGGTTAGACAAGAACTTAATATAAAACCAGGAAGATTATACAGTGTTCTAGTACTGTGAATGTTAATTGGGAACGTATTAGTCAATACAAGGTAAGTAGAGTAATTACATGAAGTGGGTCAGTAACCATCACCACCGCTTCCGCTACACACACACACACATACAGGAGGGTGGAGAGGGGGCTATGTCCCATGCAGAGGCACAACCATGCCACCAAGAGTTACAGGAAAACACATAGAAGACAATGGCCATGTACAAACGCGACTCTGACACAGAGGGAAAGGCAATGGGAGAAGGAGAGGGAGAAGTCACTGTTTATTCATGGGCTACAGGAGAGCGAGGGAAGGACACACAATGAAAGACGGCAGGAAGAAAAACAGGAGATTGAAAACATCGCCAATATAATAGGCGAGGAAGACATGAGTGAGATCGTTAATTTTCAGAGAATAGAGGGGTACTTAAAGGGGAGAAATCGTCCAGTCAAGCTAATTTTCAAGACAGAAACAGTGCGAAACAGGATCCTGCAAGAGAAACCAAGGCTGAAGGAATCGTCAACATACAAGAGGGTGTTCCTAGACCGAGACAGAACAATATCAGAAAGACAGTGGCTGAGGGGACACAGAAGCAAAAGGGGCTAGGAAAAGATACAAGGCCAAATTCAGCAGAGGACAACCAGAGCAAGGAAGAGCAACAAACACAAGCACATACAGAACCATCCCCAGAACCCACCAACCAAACACACTATCCCAACACAAACCACAATCCACACTTACAGCTCGCACCCCACACTACGCTCTAGAATACCACAGCACACTGACAGGTTCCCCACCCTCACAGACCCCCAAGAACACAGGATTGGAGAGGAAACTGAAGGTATGGTGCACCAACACTGATGGAATAACGAATAAGTGGGAGGAGTGACAGGAAAGAGTCAAAGAGGCATCACCGGACATGATAGCTCTCACAGACACCAAGCTCACAGGAATGATAACAGATGTCATCTTTCCATCAGGTTATCAGATCCTGAGGAAAGACAGAGGGAACAGAGGGGGTGGAGGAATGGCAATGCTCATCAAAAACCGATGGAATTTTGATAAGCTGGAGAGAGGAGACAGGGGAGAAGCAAGAGCCTACATAATAGGAACACTTTAGTCTGGACGTCCCAAGGTGGTAACTACAGTGATATATAACCCTCCACAGAACAGCATGAGGCCAAGGCAAGAGTATGATGAAAGCAATAGAGCAATGGTTGACACACTGGTTGAAGTGGCCAGAAGGGTTCATGCAAGCAAGGCAAAGCTGCTGATTATGGGTGACTTCAGTCACAAGGAAGTCGACTGGGAGAACCTGGAGTCACATGGGGGCCCAGAAACGTGGAAGGCTAAGATGATGGAGGTGGTACTGGAAAACTTCAGGTTCCAACACGAAAGGGACACTACCAGAGAGAGAGGAAAGGATGAGCCAGCAAGACTGGACCTAGTATTCACCTTGAGTAGTGCAGATATTGAGGACATTACATATGAAAGACCCCTCGGGGCCAGTGATCACGTGGTTCTGAGCTTTGAATATATTATAAAGTTACAAGTGGAGAGGGAAGCAGGAAGGGCAGGACAAATGAAGCCATAATACTAGAGAGGGGACTACACAGGCATGAGGAATTTCCTGCACGGGGTTCAGTGGGACAGAACTAGCAGGGAAGTCAGTAAACGATGTGATGGAATATGTGACAACGATATGCAAGGAAACTGAGGAGAGGTTTGTGTCCAAGGGTAACAGCAATAACGAGAAAGCCAGGAGAAGCCCTTGGTTCACCCGAAGGTGTAGAGAGGCCAAACCCAAGTGTGCTAGAGAATGGAAGAAGTATAGAAGGCAAAGGACCCAGGAGAATAAGGAGAGCAGTTGTAGAGCCAGAAATGAATATGCACAGGTAAGAAGGGAGGCCCAACGACAGTACGAAAATGACATAGCAGCGAAAGCCAAATCTGACCCGAAGCTGTTGTACAGCCACATCAGGAGAACAACAGTCAAGGACCAGGTAATCAGGCTGAGGAAGGAAGGAGGGGAGATCACAAGAAACGACTGTGAAGTATATGAAGAGCCCAACATACGATTCAAGGAAGTGTTAACAGAGGAGACAGAAGGGACTCCAGAAAGACGGAGAGGTGGGGTACATCATCAAGTGTTGGACACAATAAATACAACCGAATAAGAAGTGAAGAGGCTAGATACCTCAAAGGCGATGGGGCCGGATAACAAATCCCCATGGGTCCCGAGAGAGGGAGTGGAGGCACTTTGTGTACTGCTAACAACAATCTTCAACACATCTTTCGAAACAGGGCGGCTGCCTGAGGTGTGGAAGACAGCAATTGTAGTCCCAATTTTTAAAAAAGGAGACAGACACGAAGCATTAAACTACAGACCTGTATCACTGACATGTATAGTATGCAATGTCATGGCAAAGATTATCAGGAGGAAAGTGGTGGAGTACCTAGAGAGGAATGAGCTTATCAAGGAAAGCCAGCACGTTTTCAGGGACGGGAAATCCTGTCACGAACCTACTGGAGTTCTATGACAGGATGACAACAGTAAATCAAGAGAGAGAGAGGGTGTTTAGATTGCATTTTTTTAGACTATAAGAAGGCGTTTGACACAGTCCCACACAAGAGATTAGTGTTTAAGCTGGAGGACCAGGCAGGGATAACAGGGAAGATACTGCAATGGATCAGGGAATAACTGTCAGGAAGACAACAGCGAGTCATGGTACGTGGCGAGGTGTCAGAGTGGACGTTTGTGACGAGTGGGGCTCCCCAGGGTCAGTCCTAGGACCGGTGCTGCTCCTGGTATTTGTGAATGACATGACGGAAGGAATAGATTCATAGGTGCCCATGTTTGCAGATGATGTGAAGTTGATGAGAGGCATTCAATTGGACGAGGACCAGGCAGAACTACAAAGGGGTCTGGACAGGCTGCAGGCTTGGTCCAGCAATTGGCTCCTGGAGTTTAACCCCACCAAGTGCAAAGTCATGAAGATTGGAGAAGGGCGAAGAAGACTGCAGACGGAGTACAGTCTAGGGGGTCAGAGACTAAAAATCTCACTCAAGGAAAAGGATTTTGGGGTGAGTATAACACCGGACACATCTCCTGAAGCGCACATCAACCAAATAACTGCTGCAGCATACGGACGCCTACCAAACCTCAGAACAGCATTCCGACATCTTAATAAGGAATCATTCAAGACCCTGTACACCGTGTACGTTAGGCCTATATTGGATTATACAGCACCAGTGTGGAGCCCACACCTAGCCAAGCATGTAAGGAAGCTAGAGAAAGTGCAAATGTTTGCAACAAGACTAGTCCCGGAGCTAAGGGGCATGTCCTACGAGGAGAGGTTAAGGAAAAGCGACCTGACAACACTGGAGGACAGGAGAGATAGGGAGGATATAATAACGACATATAAAATACTGAGAGGAATCGACAAGGTGGACAGAGACAGGATATTCCAGAGATGGGATACAGCAACAAGGGTCACAGTTGGAAGCTGAAGACTCAGATGAATCACAGGGATGTTAGGAAGTATTTCTTCAGTCACAGAGATGTCAGGAAGTGGAATAGTCTGGGAAGTGATGTAATGGAGGCAGGATCCATACATAGCTTTAAGAAGAGGTATGACAAATCTCATTTAGCAGGAAGAGTAAACTAGTAGCGTCCAGTGAAGAGGCGGGGCCAGGAACTGTGAATTGACCCCTCCAACCACAATTAGGTGAGTACACACACAGCAAATACAGAAGACATTAAGTGAGTAAACTGAGTTAAAGAAGAGATAAGTAATAGATCAGGAATTGGCTTAAAAAACAAGAGTCATATCGAGAAGGAAATTAAACTCTTGGTAGTATACAAAACAAAATTTGAGAACTTTTTAGAAATAATTAAACATAAGACAGAATTAGATCAGCAGGAGGATATTAACCTGTAGTTCACCTGTAAAGATTATTATAATACTGTATTTTGTATTTACTGTTATGATTTCCATTCAGTCATTTAATATTATTATATCTAACTCCATAAATCTGTAATATCTCCACGGTTTCAACATTCACTTTTGTTATGTTAGTTAACTGTAAAATATAAATTATAATTAATAATATTAATTTTGATAATTCTATTCCTCACATATAATAATATTCTTCCGTATCTTTAAAAAAATTCACTTTCGTATGGATGAGGGGGAGAGAGATTCCTAGAAGTTGGTGTAGGGCTCTTGTTTCAGTGAATTAGAGATAACTTCCCCTTCCCTGAATCAAAGCTAATTACCTCCAATTAACCACTCGGTGAATGGCCTCTCTAAGTACAGAACTTCCTCATTAATAATAATAATAATAGTTAATAAACTTTAACTATGGTTCAGGAATTAGATGTATTCTCTTCTTCCTCGAATCAATTATGAATGTTTCACATTTTGAAAGTTAAAGTGAAAGTATTAAAAAAAAGCATCTCAGTAGACAAAAATAATAGAGCAAACAGTAAACACTGACTGGAGTTGAACTTTAGGTAGTGTAGTAGAGTTAGCCAGGCAGACAGTATAGTCAGCCAGGCTAAGAGCAGAGTCAGCCAGGCCACAGAACTGTACTCTCTCTTTTAAGTATTATTATGTAGTCTATATAAGTTTCCTTCTGATGTTTACTTCTCACTTTCATCCACACACACACACACACACATGACGGAAGGAATAGACTCTGAGGTGTCCCTGTTTGCAGATGACGTGAAGTTGATGAGAAGAATTCAC